TGTAGTAAAAGTCTGAGCAACCTGTGGTGGGAAACCCTCTTTGCACTTGATTGAGCAAGCACTTACTTTAAACTGAGAGTGCTATGAGGAGACTTAGGTATTTTGGTGGAGTTTTCGTCCTCTAATTGACGTCATTCCATGCTGAAAAGCCGAAAAGCACTGTCCAACTGTTTCCTCCTTATTGAGAACCCTTCGCAGCGCGCATCTCACGAATTTCTCATGGAGAAATGAGATACCACCTCAACGAATCAATAGCAGGTTAGAATGATTTGTTCTGATTGGTAGGTACATACCGCCCAAAGATCCCGATTATTTAGTTGTGGATGGTTGCGAGATTTATGGAATGCATGCTCACATCACTCCTGTTTGAAGGGTCGTCTTCCCGTCCTGGATTCATCATTCCAGGCAAAGCCTCGGTCTTGCGGAGGTTCAAACTCCTGACACTCGAGGTGCGACGTGGGCGTGTTACCACTACTCCACCAGCTGGCACCTGTATCCCCATGTCTGAACAGGCGAACATGTTTATTCTGGTGCCCAATGGAATGCATACTGTACGTGTACGTCGATCGATAAGGCCAAAAAACCAATCACAGTAGGGTCGATCCACAAAAAGTCGTAAGTGAGACGGACCTACTGCCTACTGGAACAGCACTCAAAACAAATGCTGTCAAAATTCCCGCAAATAAATGAGAATCACGCAAAGATGTTATCAGTGCGTTATCAGTGCGAACAGCGGTCCAGTCACACATTTGTCTTGAGCAATGCATGCGATTACAAAAGGTCATCAAAGTGCACACTTACTATTCTGTTTTGAAGAAGGATGTGAGTTGCAAATTGCAGCAATACTTACAGAACTGATTAGGTTGATCACGAATAACACAATGCGACAGGGGATGTTGCATAACATCTCCCAGCAAGCTGCTGAAACAACATAAGGGGGAAAACGAAAGATTGACGAATGCAGTGGTGCTCCACATTGTTGAAGCTAATGAAAAGGGGGAGAAACTGCATTTTTGTGCACGTGCTATGGCAAATAGTTTTAAATCATTAAATTTAAAAATTTGCAGCACACAGTAATCCTTCCGATGGTACTGCAGTCACTCAGACGGAAAGAAACACTGGATTATCTGTGTTGTGTTTTTAAACGTTTTCGTCTATGAAAATTGAGTCTTTTTGTTGAAGATTTCATGATAAACCTTTACGAATTCAAAATTTTTTCTCTTCTGGTTCACCAGGTCTGAGTGTCTCGAATGCGCATATGGGGGAAGAGATAAGGTGAACTTGGACCCAAATCTGTTGAAATTAACGAAATGTGCATGAACCCTGTATAAGTAATTGATTTTAGTTCTCCTGGTTGCAGCGTTACTATGCCGCTTCCATCCTACGGATTCCTAAGTCTGAGTTCATGAAACATGTGTGGTACAGTTCAGGTTAGCTTGAGTGCTGAAGGCAAGCTTTGCATTCATGTGACCGCTGACAAATCCCTTCTCAAACGTCGTCACCTAGTAAACACGAGACGGCTCCAGGATCTGCATTGTCCTTGGTGTGACTCATCGTCAGGGCCTGTCTGCTTACTGTACGTCAAAAGCCCGAAGTTCTGCTCCCTAGTTGTTCAGATCCTTGTAACAGTTCGGACGAGAATGACAGTCTGTCGAACGAAACCCAGCGTTTTGTGTTTTAGACAAACAGATCGAGTAAAGGGCAAATTTTCAATATCTCTTCGTTAAGTTAGGTCGTGCATACAAAAATACCAAATAGTTAAAATGTGAAAACTAGTCTCCTTCGGAATAAAATTCAGTCCAAAGTCAACTCATGGTTGGTGGTCTAACAACTCACACGGTGTACGAGGATCACGTGACTAGCCGACCACGTGAGCGCTGGCACATTTGTGGATCGCCTTGGCACAGGCCACTGGCTTCCACAGTGGCAAACCTTTTTGTTCTGTTTGTTTGCGGTACGCCGTTGGGAGCTGTAAACCTGCTGTCGTATGCATATTATGTTCCTGTTCAATAAACGGTCAAACGGTCTAAACCAAGTGAAGCCCAAAACCTTAGACATAGGGCCCGGGTTCGCCCTTGCATCTCACCACAATCTACTGATCGCTCGGTTGGCGAGTTTGACCTCGTCAAGTCCAACTGCCTCTCCACCCTCGTTGCGAGTCAGTGCACAGACTGCTTTCTGACAAACTGCCAACAACAACGTGATATGTAATGTATTTTTGGTCGCCCGACTCTTAGCTGCAGCATTGTACCGTAGACTTGAATGATAAAGTGTCAAGTTGATTTGCAAATGAGTGTATTTCTCGAAAGCAGTCCAATTTGGGTTGACGGAAAATCGGAAACTGCGTCCACCTGATGAGCCCCAAGCGGAAGGGCGAAACCGGTCGTGGGCTGTCAAAAAGTTTTCAGCAACCTTATGAGTAGTTCCCATTATCAAGTTCCTTCTGTTTCACGCAAACGAGATGGGAGCGTCGACCGATCTCCATGCGATGGTACGCATACCATACATAGATGCCTGATTACGCACAATATGAAGAGTGAATGGCCAAAAATCTGTGCCAACGCTTCGGATTTTGACGAGGCACACCAGGTGCGGTAGTTGAAGCACAGGTTATGTCTGTACGCGTACGTTCAGTTCACTTATTTCGAAGACATGATATGCTTTCACAGACGTTTGGTAAACAGTCCGTGTTTACTGAACCTCTCTGAAACGATGACTTCTCAATCGGTTTCAAACATTTTCCAATTGATTGACGAAATAATATAATGTTTGTTGTCTTCATCGACCTTATGAGTGGTGTGTTCAGTCAAGAAAAGGATGGAAAATCCCTCTGCCGTGACTGAAAATCAGCTGGAAATCTTGGCAAGTTAAACCAGATGTGTTGTCACGTTCCATCATTGTGGTCCCACGTTCTTTCAGCTACGGGCACGTTGACAGATTTGCTTGATTCGACTACATTAACTTTCGGTCATATTGATGCGCGCTCCAACGTTGGGATACACGGAAATTTTCAAAGGACTTCCGCGCATTTACCTCAGGGTAATTCGTATTGCCCGGGCCGACATTTTAAAAAACCGTCAGTTCGAACAAAGTCACGTTCGGCCAATTCACAAAGGGAAACCGTCGCGCTCATTAGTGAATTCAGTCCATAAATATTGAGTTCAGATACAATCGATACAATGGTTTAATAAAAAGGATCGGGGGTGGCCACAAATCTTACCCTTTTTCGTGTTTGTATGACGGCTGGCTCTAAGCTTCGGGAAACCGAATGGGGATCAACTGTCTAGACTGGACGTGACGAACTAGACACGTGACGTGCGTGAGTATCGCAAGTCGCAGCCAAAACTAACTGTATTCGGAAGAAGCACTTGTTGAGCTGTCGAGTTTTCAATGGTACCGGGTTTCATCAGGCACTGGGTTACCTACGCCCGAATATCTTCGTACAGGGCTTCCATCAAGTAGCTTAAAAAGGCCAAGTCACTAGGAAATATGAACCAAAATATCTTGCAGAGATGCATAGTCTGAAGCTTTCCTGTATCAGTCACATTGGTTGCACTGAGACTGTCCCGAAGCTTGACAAATAGTTTGAGCAGGTTTTTAGACCACAGAGACACATTTTTCACTTTACTAAGTAGTAGGCCAACTTATATTTCAATAACAAGGTGTGGGCTTCAGTCCAACCCACATCTTTTAGTCTGATTTGACTGTATGAACTAGCCCTACGATACTAACGTAAATCGGGCGAGAGATGTCATTTGTGCAACGCGAACCAAATGGTCTGCAACCCGAAATTTTCAAGGAAAGTGGTGAAATCCAGGTGACCATACTACGGAGACTAACACAGAATACAAGTTGAATGGAGCGCCTCAACAGTGATTTCAGTCTTCAAAAACAGCGCAAGTAGGTCATGCGAAAACCATCGTGGCATCAGCCTAGTATCCGTGGCATCAAACGTGCTCTCTGGTATTAGGTGCGCAGGCTGATCGATTGTGAGGGGCAACAGACTCGTAAGAATCAAGCTGGGTCTAGCCCTGGATGCACCGACCATATCTTCACCTTAAGAAAAGTTCTTAAGCAACTCCGCTCTTTCAATCGTCTTACGCTGGACATTTTTCTGGATCTGAAAGCTGCTTTTCACCTTGTCGATTGTCAGAAACCTTGGTAATATCTGTGTGCCCCTTCCACATTTCTCTCCCTCATGAGGGCGTGAACTTTTGTGGGCGCGTACGAGTACACGGTAAGCTCTTGCTTGGAATCACCACGTCCAGACAAGGCTGTCTTGTTTCCCCTTTTCTCCTCAACTGCTACTTGGAATTTCTCTGCCTGTCTCTGAAACCTCGTAAGTTTAACTATTCTCAGGTCGTTCGCTCACGGACATTGAGGGTGCGAACGCTACTAATCTGTTTGATTCCGATCCATTTTAAGTAACCTAAATAACCCGGCCGCGCGGTTCGGTGTACGCTTCACACCTGCAAAGTGTAGAGCGCTGCTACAAGACTTGGTTGGATCAAACACAACCCTCATGCTTGCAGGTGAGCCAATCGACGTGGTAGATAAACTTTTTTGCCTTGGCGGTTGCATAGGTTCTGGTGGACGGGCTGGAGGTGAGACCGTTTCTCGAATCTGAAAGGCTAGGGGGGCTTTTGCCAAACTCCGACACCTATTGAGCCGACTTGACGTGAGCTTGTTTGTCGAGGGAAGAGTCTACACTGCGGTGGCGCGATCAATACCGTTCCGTGGATCAGAGACGTGGCCCCTACGCACAGAAGACATACGGAATGTGTCAGTGATCATCGGTGTTTTAGGAAGAACGAACTCTCTCACGATAGGTGAATTACTCCCATTTGATGGATTACCCTAGTTAGAACATGTGCTCCTAGACCAGAAGACCGTCT